AAAAGACTTTAAGCTAGATAATAGTGTGCTCCTATTTATATTTTAAAAGGTCACTCTGGTTCAGTAAAAAGTAATGTTTGAGGGTCATGGCACTCTAAATCTTATGAAAACTCCTTGGAGACAAATGTATGTGAAAAATTTTAGGAAATTTGTGAATCCTGGGAACCAGCTCTGTATACCAAATTTGAAATTCCACTTATAGACAATGGCTCCATGAGGAAATTCTTTTTTTTTTTTTTTTTGCAAGTATCAGTCTTTTATAAAAGGTGTAGCACAGATTTAAGTAAAAAAAGTTAAGCATCAACTGTTTACAGCCTTTAGACATGAAAATATTTATCCCTTGTCTCCCCAGCCCTCATTTCCTACCCAACAAGACTTAGCACAGCCATTTCTGAATTTCTGGGAGGTAAAATCTCACACTCACGTCTTGGAAATAAGGTACAGCACAGCAGAAGCCACCATGGGAAGTCACAGAGGATCCCATGGAACAAAGAAGCCAAAGACGCAACAAAGTCATTGCTCTGACTTGCTGATTTAGCTTGTGATCACTGATTTTATGCCACCATGTTTATGCCACCATATTCTCTCTTCCAGCACATTTAGTGTTTCTGTGTTAATATTCAGATTTTTGATCCATTTTGATTTTAGTTTAGTGCATGGTGAGAGACATGGGTCTAGTTTTAATCTTCTGCATATGGAAAGCCAGTTTTCCCAGCACCATTTATTAAAGAGGCTTTCTTCCCGAAGATGTTTGGCCCCTTTATCAAAGGTAAGGTGGCTGAGTACATTGGAAGTTGTTTCTGCATCTTCTAATATATTCCACTGATCCTCGGGTTTGGTTTTCTTTTGCCAGTATTATACTGTTTTTATCATGGTAGCCTTGTAGTATAATTTCACAACATGGATTATGATGCGCCATGCCTTGCCTTTGTTGCCCAGAAATGCTTTTGCTCTTCTAGGTCTCTTGTGGTTCCAAATGAATTTTAAGATTGTTTTCTGTAATTTTATGGGGTATGCTATTGGTATTTTGATCGTGATTGCATTAAATCTCTAACAATTTTGGTAGTATGGCCATTTTCACTATATTGAATCTTCCTACCCTAGAACAAGGGATATCTTTCCACTTTCTGATATTCTCTTTGATCTCCTTTTTCAAGGTACTGTACTTTCAATGTAAAGGTCTTTTACTTCCTTCATGAGATTGATTCCTAAGTATGTCATTTTTTGATGCTATTGTGAAAGGATGATTTCCCTAATTTCTTTCTCAGTGAGTTCATTATTTGTCTGTGTACTCTATTCCTATCATCAATCCTTCCATTCCACTTAATTTTTAAAAAATAATTCCTTTAGCCAAGCATGATGGCACACACCTTTAATCTCAACACTCTAGAGGGCTGAGGCAGGAGGATCACAAGTTCTCGCCCAGGGCAGACAACAGAGGGACTTAGTAAAACCTTGCCTCAAAATTTAGGAAGAGCTGGGGATATAGTTCAGTGCAGAGGTCCAATTCCAATTAGCTGAGAAAGAAAAAGTTATATATATATATATATACATATGATACATATATATATAATATGTATATAATATATATATAACTTGGCTAACTCATTCTGGTTGTTTTCGTTGTAAACCTCTAAATATCTATTTCATGATAAAATTATCTTTATAGTCTTTTACTTGCTTTTCCTTTTCAATTGGAAGAGTTATATTTTCACAATACTAATATATATGGTGCTTATCACATAGTAGGTACTTAGTATATCATTTTTTTCAAACTTCATCCACATATTTATTACAATAAAAGAACCTTAAAGATAAATTTTTCTTTTAAGAGTGTATATTTTCCTTTTTGGTGATAATAATGTTGTTTGATACATTTTTGGGAAAATGTCCATTGAGTAATTGAATATTTTTCCGCTATTTGTAATTCCACTTGAGCTCTTATCTGCCGTAATGGAGGGGGGCAACGACAGAGGTCAGAATGTCTGAAAATTTTGGCTAAGAATGAATTAACAGAGTCATTCTCTTTTTGAACAACAGCTATACCATTCTAATTTTGCTTTATTCATATTAAAACAAGTTTAGTGTACAAATAATTTACATTGTTCAGAAACACATCAAGTAATATGAAAGGAAGTGTGTTAGAGGTCAAGGGTAATCACAGTGGAATTAAATAAATAATTTAATAAACCGTGCTAGTTTGTCAATGTATTACTTTATTTTATTCCTTAAATGTTATAATAACTTTGGGTACATGGACAAATACATTAGATATATGGACAAAAATTCTTGAAAAATTGAAGGACTGCCATTTCTAGCTACTTATTTCACTCTTTAAATCCCTCTCTCTTTTAAGTGGGTTGTCCATTTCCTTCTGGAAAGACCACTTAATGTTTTATGAAATTGAAAATGTTTTCCCACAAGATTCTAAAATAGCTATTACATTTGAGTCTGACTCCTATTTTTAAAACTAAGTGTGTGTCTTTCCAAAATTTTTGGAAATTGGCACTGCTACACATGCTTTCTGGGTACAATTTGTTTTTTAGGTTTCTTTTTTCCATGGGTACTAAAAATAGGAACTTGTTATTGAAATGAGAAAAATAGCATTACTGTGAAGCTGATTACAGCTAGCATTGGAAAGAATCTTAGAACCCATTTGGAAATATTTTCCCACTTTGTTAACTTTTTTAAGATTCTTAAGAATTATTTTTCTTTTCAGCTTTCACAAATCAAATTCTTTCTGTCAATATTGTCTTTTTTCTACACAGTAAAGAAATGAATAGCTGGTTTTTGTGAGGTTTTTTGTTTTGGGGTTTTTTTTGGTACTGGGAATCGAACTTAGGGCCTCATGCTTGCCAGATAGCTGCTGCACTGCGGAGCTACATCCCCGCCCCAGCTTTGGTTTTGTAATTCTCCTTAGTACTTGTCTTACACCCAAAAAGAAGTATTTACTGAATAAGCTTTGCTTTGTGATACATATTTATACTGGATCAAAAGTTTTCTTCTGTGATCATAACTGCTCCTTCTCATCCCACTCTCCATTGGTGGCTTTCTGCGTAGTATACAACAGCATTTTCTTAGGGGAGTTTTTAAAAATGTAATCTGTAGACTCATTGTATAAAGGTCCTGTCTTTCCCATAACCTTTTACTATTCATTGATAATATACCTATAAATTTTCTAGTGATATTTTGTTTAAATACTTATTCTGATGTTTTATCAAAAAAATCAAAACTGTTTTCTTTATTGTTGCTTGACTTGTCTATAGTGGCAGGAAAGGGTTGTATAATCAGTTCCTTACATTCCTTTTTCCCCTAAAGAAAATTTGAGCTCCTTGAGTACCTTGACATTTTGATCTTTCCCAAATAAATACCTAGGGAAATATTGAATATCTTTCTGCCATTTGTAATTCCACTTTAGCTCTTAACTGCCATAATGGAGGGGGGCAATGACAGAGCTCAGAATGTCTAAAAATACAGTTTGGCTTAAGAGTGAATTAACAGAGTCATTCTCTTTTTGAACAACAGCTGTACCATTCTATGTTATACCATACCTAGTGAATATGTGTGATCAGTGGCTTAAGATCTTTCTGCATCTAATCTTAATTTTACTAGTGGCATCATATTTCCCCATGTCAGAAACCTTGGTGGAACCTGAAACTAGTTTTAGGGAGGAAAGGTCTGTTTTGTCAGTTTTGTCACTTACCCCTCTCTCCACTCCATTTTTCTCTCTAACCTTGCTAAGCTGCCTCCTAATTAGTTTTTTGACCAGTTTTGCTTTCTTCCATTCCATCCTTCATGTCATTTAGAGTTCAAGATCAAGTCCATAGTGCCTGTGTAGTGCATGAGGCCTTTTATCATGATTTAGTCCTTTCTTGTTTCTTTGTCAAACGAAAGAAACTATTTGAAATGTCCTGAATGTAATTCATTTCACTCCACCTTATTACTTTGCTCATTGCTTTCTCTTTCAAATTGAACTTTAGTATTCTTCTGTGACGCCTCCTGACGTCTTTGTCCTTATAGCTATTTTCCTTTAAGTTCCTTATCAAAATATAAAACTTCTACTTACATTTAACCTAGAAAAGTAAAGAAGCCTATTTAAGTGTGTAAATTTTTGCAGGAATGACAACTATGGGTGTTGTTTCTGTAATTTATAGTGAAGAAAGAACCTGAGGGTCAAGGTGAAAAACAATTTACAAATGGACAATGACCTGACAATCCCTGATCAGGTCATATTTGAGATGCCTTTTTTTCCAGTTATAAAGTTTCACATTCTTTTACCTGCTGTGGTGTCTCTGTCAAATGCAAGTGAGGATAGCAGACTCCTTTGCTACAGCAAGCTCAAAAGTATGCTTTTCTCATTTGGTTGGTCTTTGTTCATTTCCACAGCTGTATGTGTGGGGGGTCTCTGTTCTACATTTCTTTACATCTGAAGTGACTGCTAGTAAGAATAGTTTATGAACTGTATCTTCTGTGGCAGCCATTTTTCATGATTTTTTCTACATATTTTTAAATATAAAGTTTATGTTATAAATATAGAGGTTTGTATTTTAGAAAGTTGAAGATAGGTCATACATAGCATTGTCATGTTTCATTTCTTTATGTTGAATGAAGAGAAAATGAAAAAGAAATTAAAAAAACAATTACACTGAAGTTACATGAGACCTTTGTCTCAAATTTATTATTCAAAACTTTTTATTTGGTTTATTAAATTTATTATTGAACAAGTCATATGCTCCTGAAATTAAACTCTGCTTGGTTTGATAAATATTTTTTAATAATATTTTCACTACTTTTATATAAGCTATATCACTGTAAACATTCTGAAAATGCTCACACCTATACATTGCTATGTCTTGTTTTATTATACTGTCTCTTCTATTTCTAAGATTGAATCAGACTACTTCAGATAGTTTTGAAACTATGGGAAAGATAGCTTTTTATATTCCTTGTGCTTTATTATACTAAAGTTATTCTGATTATTTATTTTTTTCTGTTAATAGATATTCCCTTCGGAGAGGTAGCTCCTTTACTTTTTTAACACCTGGCCCCCACTGGGACTTCACCTTGGTGAGTAGACATTTGGATTTTTATTTCAAGGCACTAAATGGAATTAATTCCTAGGTTATCCTTCAATCTGTTACACAGTTCACTTGTGTGTACTTCTGTCTTGAGGAACAATTTCTGTAGCCATTTTGACAGTCTAATTTAGTCCTTTTCTGCTAATAAGCTGGAAAAAATTTTATTTCAAGCACATAAAACATTTTGCAAAGTATTCATATTCATTAATCTTTAACTATCCTTTCTTATTCCTATCAATGTTAAATTTAAGAGTCCATATTATGAAACATAAAGTTATTTTTATGTACATTCTCTAACAGTTTTTTGTGGTTGAAAAATATTAAAAATTTTATACTTTGGTAGACTTATTTTCTTGTATTGATCATCTCAATACAGGGACTGTTTCATTATTTTTAGGGCAAGACTTTACAGAGGTGTGTAATTTTTTGTAATATGACACCAGAAAATTGATTCCGTATTTAAAACTCAGTGGATTATAATACATATATAAAGTATGTATAACTAGATCGTGAGTTTAACTCTTAACTGAAAGAAATAGCAAAGATGATTCTGTTTCTAGTTGGCCAAATGTTACTTCTTTTTATATTTTGATGATGTTCTGATAGATTCAGTTAATTTTTATGTTGTTCTTTTGTATTTAATATGTATTTCTATTGGGTCAAATTTTTGTATTTTTATACCCATTGCATGAATCATTTAGCCAGTGAAGCACTCATATCAAGGGTCTCATGACTAGTGGAGTTCTGCATTTTCCTTTGAAGATTTCCTGTCTTGTCCTCTTTCCTTTACCAGGTTGATGAGCCTAACCTTAGAAAAAGTTCAATGGAAAAGGGCCTCCATACTTTTGTTGTGCAAACCTATCAACAAAAATACTTTGAACATGTATTCTTAATATAATTGTTTATAATTTGTATAGCTCTGTACTACCTTTATGATCTAGTATCTCAAAGCACAGTTTTCACTTAGGGTAAGGTTGATGATAGTGGGCGTGAATCTATATTTTTTTTCTGTATTTCAAATAGTCATGATAATTTCAGTTTAGGGATGACTTCTTATTGAATCTAATTAGACCACCATTGTTTTTAACCTTCTAATGTGAGTGATGATGTATGTATTCATTATCTGTATATTAATTATTAATAAACCCTTTTAAGCATTTAAAATACATTTAAAAAATAAAGTTCCAGCGTTTTCCTCCTGCACTCCCAAGACAGTATCTTGCAGACCCTCTGGGATGGGTACATTCCACTTGGAAAAATACTTTGGTAGAGGTCTCCCATGACAAAAGTGGTATTTCGTGATTTATGTATTAAAAATTCTGGAATATGATTAGGGAGTAATAAGAAAGATTTAGTTTGAGAAAGGAACAAAAATTAAGCAGCTAATTTTAGAGGTTAGACAAAGAACAGTAGAGTAAAGCAAACAAAAGGAAAGGTAAGAAGGAGAAAAAAAATTCAGCACACATTTATGGTAAAACTCTTGGAAACTAGGAACAGTGAGAATTTCCTTAGTGTGAGACCTACCACAAACAGCATTTGTAATGATAAAATGGAAGAAACATTACCTTTAAATTTAGAAGCCTGCTGTCACTGTATTTAGCAAAACAGAAAGCCAACACACTAAGATAAAAACAAGTGGTATACAAATTAGAAATGACGAGACAGTGTGGTTTCATTACTTACAGACAATATAATTGTTTGTGTAGAATATCCAACAGAATATTAGTAACAGCTATTGAACGAATGATTTCAAACAAGAATTTTTAAAAGAAGTCAATACAATTTGTATAGGCCAGCAATAAAGAATCAAATGTGGGCTGGGGGATTTAGCTCAGTGGTTCCGCCGCCTGCCTCTAAAGTGCAAGGTCCTGAGTTAGATCCCCAGTACAAAACAATATGTAATTTTAAAGACTTTAAGGAACAAAAACTAAGAATAAATCCATGAAAAGATACGTGAATTTTATGGAGGAAATGGGAAAGCATTAAAGAAGAATATAAAGACCTAATAGAATGGACACATATGCAGTTTCATACAAGGGAAGCCTATCATAAAAATGTCATTTCTTTGTAAACAGCTCCATATTCAGTGGTTTTAATAGAAATCCTGTTAGAGTGTAATAGATCTCATTCTACAATTTAGAGGGTCCAGAATAAAAGTAGTATACAACGTAGGAAGCATAACACTTTATTAGTTATTAAGACACAGTATGATAAGGGTGCAAGAATTGATAAATAGACCCAGGAACAAAATAGAGAACTCCCCAAAAATGACCTGTGTGTATGTGAGGCCTTACTGTGTCATGGACAGGATGAAGGAATGGGGCTCCCAGCAATTGGTTTGAAGTTTGAGTGTAATTGACTATGCTGCTTAAAGCTACGCACATACCTGTGTAAATTCACATATGTAAATTCTTTAAGAGATAAAAGTTTTGCAATATTTTTTTTAATTACAGTAGAATGTTTCAAAACCTGTTAAATTTCTTTATAAATATACTCATATAGGGCCAGGGATTTAGCTCAGTGGTTTCGCCACCTGCTACACAAGCACAAGGACCCAAGTTCAATCCCCAGTACCAAAAAAAAAAAAAAAACTAAACTAAATATACTCATACATACGTGTAATTTCCTATAATCATGGGTATACTTTTTCCCTCATTACAGTCTTTTTTGCTAAGCAGTTTTCTTCTCCTTTTCTATCTCCTTCCCCATTTAAATCCTTCCATCCCCAACCTGTACACTAACCTTTGTCAGCAACACCGTTTGTATTCCCGTATATCCTCTATTTTTTGTTTATATCATTATTTACTAATACAAATGGGCTTACAGATAGATACATAAATACAGGATTTTTTATTAGCTTGCTTTTCAAATTTGCAATCACATAATTCATACTCTGGAGATGATCTTTAGGTCAATAAAGATTCCTCGAGTTCTAACACCTTATTTTTGAGGGGTTTTTTTCCCCAATTTTGATTTATATTGTTCAGTTGTTTCTCATATCATTTTCTTAATGTCTTTCAGTTCAATTTAAAATAGTATATTATAGTTTTGTATGCCTTCATTCCCTAATAGGATGGCATAGACCAGTGATGGCAAACCTTTTAGAGCTTTGAGTGATTCAAACAGCCTACTTTGGCATGAGTGCCTTAGGTTCACCACCACTGTAGCCCCTTACTCTTTTTTTTTTGTTTTGGTACTGAGAATCGAACTCAGGACCTTGTGTTTGTGAGGCAGGCACTGTGCCTCTGAGCTAACCCCCCCACCCCCACCCCAGCTTACCCTTTTTTTAGAGTGATTTTGTGTTCGGTTTGACTTTGGGAATTTTTGTTCATTTCTGCTTGAATTTTGTTTTCTTCCACTTTTACAAGGTGTCTTGGTTCACATATTTCCTCTGTTGTTTTCATGGTGGCTTGCTTTCTGAGACCTCCTGGCTCTGTTATTTTCCCCACATCTATCTGGACTTCGTGTTTCCTTTTTTGGTTTTTCTATTGACCCTGTCTTGCTCAATTGTCAGATTCACAGCAATTTCCTCTCATTGTGGGGCTAAGAAATGGAAGAAAACCCTGGTTGGTCAGTTTTAAGATTTCACAAGAGCTAGACTATGTCACAAGTAATTACAAGAGTTATTTTAAGATGGGGGATAATGAAGTGTTACTTAAGGGTGCTTATTCAGTACTGATTAAGAGCCAGAAATGATAGGTATATACACAATTCTGCTACTGCTGGCATGAGAAGAGCTGAGTAATTACTGCACATTGCTTCAAGGATGTGATGTTCATCTGCTAGTTGATAGTCCTACTTCAGGCAAGAAATCTTTGGTATGAGAAAAGGATTTTTTCCCCTAGTGAAGGACTCCCCCACCCCCACGCTGATAAATAATGTACTCCTTTTTTAAAAAAAAAATCTTGCTACTTTTCTGTATAAAATATTTTTTCTCTAACAAATAGCCCATGACTTACATAAGAGTTCTATTTTACGTCAGTTTTTTAAGAGGGTAGAATGACTTCACAGCAAGAGATCTAAGAGCCACTTATTTAGACAGTGTGTGCCAGAGATAATTTATGAGGAGCCTTCATCAGAATAATTTTTTTCTGTATAGAGCTAAAGGCTTAACTTTTTTAAAGTGAATTTTATAGTTTCCTTGTTTAATGGGGTAACATGCACTTTTATAAAAGGATGAAATCTTTTTTCTTATAGAAAAGAAAACGAAGAGAGAAAGATGATGATGTTGTGAGCCTTAGCAGCCTTGATCTGAAGGTAAGCTTTGCTGCCCTGTTAGAGAAAAGCATTTTAAAATTTTCAGGTAACACTGTGAGAAGAATGAATGCTGGGTTTTATTGGGGAGGAGAGATTCTTGCATTGTTTCAAGTACAATACTGAGTAGTACCGGCTCCTCTTGAAGATATCCTCATTTTGCTGTTTTGTGTCTTGGTTAAGAAAGGGGGAGATCACTCTTCAAAACAATCTTAGGCCATAACTGCTGAACACAAACACAAATGCCCAAGCCAGGCCTGTAACATGCAAAGAAAAGGGATAGTAGAGGAACTGGTGAAAAGAGTGCTGTGCCTTTCAGAAAGTGACAGTGCTACTGTGCTTTAACTCATTGGTGCACATAGAATTGGCAGAATCTGGACCTTAAGGTGAAATCTGAATTATAAATATTAAGTGAATTTAAAAAAGAAAAAAGCAAACCAGACAACTCTACAAGTTAGATGTGGCCTATGGGCTTCACATGTACCCTATGATAAACTAAAATTCAGTGCATACTTCTATAAAATATTGAATATTCTTTTATGTAAAGTTGTACTTAAGTCCAAAAACCTAGTATCATTGAACTTTCACCCTGTTTTTTCCAATGGCAGATTTTACAAAGGCATCTTAGTTTTAGAGAATCTTAAAGATTATTATGAAAAAAAGCCTTACATTTTTAAAATGAGATTTGTTTTAAATATTTGACATACATCAGCAGCTGCTACTTCTTACTAAATAAAACCAATATTCTCCCCCTCCCTCCTCTTTTTTTTGCAGTGCTAGGGATTGAACCTAGGGCCTTTGCACTGAACTACATCCCTAGCCTTTGTTTTGTTTTGTTTTTTGAGACAGGGTCTCACTTTGTAGTTTAGGCTGGCAATGAACTCACTGTGTAGCCCAGGCTGGCCTCAAACTTGCAGTGATCCTCCTGCCTCTCCCTCCCGAGTGCTGGGATCACAGGCGTGTGCCACCACGCCTGGCTAGTTTTGTTTTGTTTTTTGAGACAGAGTCTCACTAAATCATTAAGTTGTCCAGGCTGGTTTCCAGCTTGCAGTCCTCCTGCCTTGGTCTTCTAGGGTTCTGGAATTACAGTAGTGTGCCATCACACCTGGTTCTAAAACTTAAATTTTTATAGATACTGCCCATTGATATTTTAGCAAATCCAGCAAGTCAGTTTTTTTCTTACTTTTAGTACATAGTATCTTTTTATAAGAATTATGTGTTTTAAGTATTAGCCTTTTTGCAAAACAGCTTTACTTGGATATAAAATATCTTGTATTTAAAAAGTCTGAAGTGGCAACCCTGAGTATTTTCAGGTATGCTTCCAATCAAATTGTATACAGAAATAAGACAGTATTTATAGCTTGCTACATGTACTTTATATAGTCAAACCTACTTAGAGAAAAAAAAATCCTCTTTTTCTTCAATCCAGCTTTTGAAGTTAGCAGGATATGATCAGATCAATCTTGTTTCATCTTTCCACTCACTTTTACATCCTTTGGATTAATTTGAAGCAAATTGCATCTGTTCTGTCATTTCATATGTAAATATTTTGTTATCTGTCAATTATTTTCAATGTCTTAAAGATAAGTATTTTTAAAAAAATATTTAAATGGAAAGTAATGTATTATAGTAAAAAACACATTGCCATGAATTCCCCTCAAAAGACTCCCTCTTGGTTTTTAAAAATTATTTTTTTATCTTATTAGTACATGTTTGCAATGCATGGAGTTAACAGTCATCTAGAGGAATGGTTACATGTACATATTACAGCTTGTTTGCTTTTTTTTTAATCTCCTTCCTTCTCCCCCCTCCTCCTGTTCCCCTGTCCCTTTTCAAACTTGATCTTATTTGCCTCAGCTCATGTTGTGGCATATAGTGCTTACATTAATTGAGGTTATTAGGTTTCTATATATGGCACATCTTTATTCTTCTCATATCACCTTCCCCTTCCATCCTCCTCACCTCTTGCCCTTGTTCCTTTGAATAATACCAAGTGGTATTCCATTATGTATAAATACTACATTTTCTTTATCTAGTTGTCTGTTGATGGATATACAAGCTGCTTCCAGGATTTATCTATTACAAATTGTGCTGCTATAAACATTGGTATTCATGTATCACTGTAGTATTATGAGTAAAGCTCTTTGGGGAAGATACCTAGCAGGGAGATAGCTGGGTTGTATGAAATTTCTAATTTCAGTTCTTTGAGAAATCTCCATACTGATTTCCATAATGGTTGTATTAGTTTGCACTCTCACCAGCAATGCATGAGGTTCCCTTTTTTATCACAGCCCTGCCAGCATTTGTTACTGTCTGCTTTCTTAATGCTTTCCATTCTTTCTGGAATAAGATGGAATCTTATCATTGTTTTAATTTGCTTTTCTATAATGGCCAGATATGTTGAGCATTTTTTTCATATATTTGTTGACCATTTATATTTTGAATTTTCTAGAATTGACTTCTGCCTTTATAAAGTTATAAAAACAAACAAAAATCAATCAGTGGGGCATGATGGCATACTCTTATACTTCCAGCACTCTGAGAAGCTTAGGCAAAAGGATGATGACAAGTTCAAGTTCAGGCTGGGCAATATAGTGACCCTGTCTCAAAATTTAAAAATTTAAGGGCTAGGTATTTAGCTCAATGTGAAGACCCACTGTTCAATCCCCAGCAACTCTCCCCCTCAAAAAATGTGATTCGAACAAAAAATATATAGCCATTAAAAAGAAGATAATGCACTGAAAGACCATTCAGGCATCCTTTTTATCTAATTTCAACTCTTGAATTTTTTAAATAGTCCCTTATAAATAATCCCACCAAATTATTCCTGATCATAAACATAGATTCACTAAGCAGTATTAACACAGATAACTTTCTTATAGTATGGTCAGCAAAAGCTGAGCCTTCTGGAGTTTAGAACTATTTAGTAGGGGTTTTGTTTCGTTTTGTTTTGTTCTTTTGAGACAGGGTCTCACTGTATAGTTTAAGTTGAACTTCAATTCACTGTGTAGCCCAGACTGGCCCCGAACTTGCAGTGATCCTCCTCCTTCAGCCTCCAAAGTGCTGGAATTACTGGTGTACACCACCACACCTGGCCTGTTTGGTAGTTCTTAACCATGGGTATATTATCAGGGTTCCTTAAACCCAGTTTTAGCATTTGAGTTTCTTTTGAGCAGATCTAACTATTTGTAGGAATTGAAATTTCATTACCTTTTATTTTTCCAGTAAGATTTTCCAAAGGACAAAGATTTATTTAATATTTTTAAGAGCTTATAATTCATTCTGTTTTACCATTGTCATTTGGGTCCACTGGACTCTTATAAATCAAAGATACATTATGGAATCTTGGAGATCTTAATTTTTATCTTAAAATATTTTTGCTGTTTTATCATCCTCATCACTTTTTCTTGTCTTTACTAAAAGATTAAAATGAAAATGAACAATGATAGAACACCTAGAAAGACAATGTGATGATGAAATAAATAGTCATCTTTCAATTTTGTAGTGTATTGTCCAGAATACTGTAGTCCCCTCTTTTTCACAGGGGATACATTCCAAGATCTCAGTCAGCAACCTAACATTATACTTTAAGGATCTAGAAAAAGAAAAACAATCTAAACCTGCCAGAAGGAAGGAAATAAACATTATAGATAAATAAAATATGAAATTGAGAAACAATAGTGAAAATCAGTAGTTCTTCGAAAAGATTAACAAAATCGACAAACTTACGTTGATGACTAGGAAGAAAAGACTCAAATTACTAAAATGAGAACTGAAAGTGGAAACATTACTGCTGATTGTACAGGAATAAAATGGACAATAAAAGACTATGAAAATTCTACACTAATTTATTGAATAACCTAGACAAAATGGATGATTTCCTAGAAACACACAAGCTATCAAGACCGAATCATGAAGCAAAGTGTGGTAGCACATGCCTGTAATCCTAGCCCTCGGGAGGCTAACACATGAGGATCACCATGAATTTGAGGCCACCCTGAACTACATAGTGAGACCTTGTCTCAAAAAAGAAAAAAGAAAAATTGAATCATGCAGAGAAAATCTGAATAGGCTTGTATCTGATACAAAAAAAAAAGATTGAAATACTAACCAAAAACCTCCCAACAGAGAAAAGCCCTGAATGAGATGATTTCACTGGTAAATTATACCAAACATTTAAAGGTTTAACATGAGTCCTTCTCAAACTCTTTAACTGAAAAAACCAAGGGAATACTTCCTAATTCCTTCTGAGGTTACCATTACCCAGATACCAAAACTAAAGACAACACAAGAAAACTATAGGCCAATATCCTTTATAAAAATTGAGGTAAAATTAGACCAGCTTGGTAAAAGAGACCCCCAGCTAGTGGAACACACTAAATGATCTTACCTGTTGTCCTGGCTGCTCTCTTCATAGGCCTGTTGCTCAAGCACTGGGATCCACAGGGTAAATTTTTGTGTTACCTACTCCTGCTAGGCACTAACACCTTTATACTCCGTGATAAACATTAATATGAGGTACAAAAGTCCTGCCACTTTGTGCCCACTTCCATATGTCCATCCATATGTTTCTCCAAAATTTATTTGTTCCTTTCCAGTCTTGTTTCCTACCAAGCCTCTAACCAATCAGCCAGTCCACTCATTACTACTTAGGAACCTGTCTGTATCTGCACATCATGCCATTTTCCCTCCATATGGAGTGAACAGTCAAGTGTGCTGCTTATAACTCTACCTCCTAGAAGTGGTTTCTTCTACTCCTTGGGACTCTCACTTAACAGGGTGCAGTGCAGTAGTGATCCATTTTCTGTTCATAGCAGCATGTGAAGCTAATGCCAGCTTTTCTCCCAACAGTTGGTTATAGAGAATTACCCCTATTATCAAATGTAAAGTTGAAGAAGAACCAGAGTAATGTACTTGATAACGTGGCAGTCTGAACCATCTCTTCATGTAATTTATTGATGCCCTTTGTTATTCCTGAAACCTGATCCCTAATTATCCATTTC